GCCAGCCTGGTCTACAGAGTGAGTTCCAGGACAGCCAGGGCTACACAAAGAAACCCTGTCTCGAAAAACAAAACAAAAACAAAAAAGGTAGATTTTTGCATTAAGAGAATCTATCAGAATCAAGAGCAGTCTTGTTGGAGGACAGTTTTGTGTGCACTGTATATTCAGATGCTGATTACTGTGCCCAGAGATCTGGTTTTAATCTGGACGTTGTTGGTACTGTCATGATTACTAAAGCACCTCCTATCTCAAGGATGTGTAAAAATTAATTCTCCCTCACCTCTGATTGGTTATAAAGAGAGTTAGGTGGGATTCCCGATCTCAGTACAGGGGTCCTAGGTGGAGAGTGGAGTGGATGAGGAACTGCCATGAGAACATGATGGAGCAGGAGCAGGAGCAGCCAGGGCAAGACTTAAGATGGCAGAGAACATGGCACGTCACTGAGTAGGTAGGCAGCATAGCCAGGTTAGCATAGATGAGAACTCTGCCAGCTATAGTGCATTATTTCAAGACAAAGGAGGGTGTAAAAAAAATCCATGTACTTTTACACAGCCCAAGATGGGTCTAAACAGCCTGAGACAAATAGGGAGGGGTGATTTGTTGAGACCTCTTTCTAGGTACATAAGACCACACCTGGACAAGAGCCCTCCTCATTTACCTTCTTGCCAGCACTGTTCCCTTCCTGTATCATCCCAAGGAACAGCTCAGAGGGAATAGAACATATCAGAAAGTAAAAAGACAGCAGCTTTGGCACATTACAACTCCAACTTGCCGAGATAACACACATCACCATCCGAGTCTAGCCTGGAGGTCCATATCCACCCTGGACCTATCTTGCCCACAGCCTGAATTTTCTAAGTTTCATTGTCACAGTTTACTCGTTTCAAAAAGACTCTTAAGTTCAATAAGTATGAAAAATATATGCCTCCCCCCTCCCCTGGTAACGAGCTCCTAAAAATTCTAGGGTATGAAGACCTGAAAGACCACCTACTATAGTGGTTAGCGCATATCTTCAAGGTTTTGTCCCTCCTCATGAGAAGGCGGATGGTCCCTTTCTCCTTATGCTTCAGAAGCTTGACATCTCCAGTGCCTCGCTCCTTCCATTCTGGGA